GTTGTTCAGCATGGGGGTGAGTAGAAAATGAAGGCTAATCATGTTTTGGGTGTACTATTCCTTTAAGCTCTGGTTAACATGCTTTTTGAACGCATCTTGGTATAACTCTGTCTGTGAAAGGTAAGTTTTGAATTTTGGGAATTAAAAATATAAACATGTCTTCAGTCTGTGACCCAGTCATCTTATTTTTGTAATAAAAAAATTGCAGGTGTTGCAGCTGGATAAACTGGAGCAGTACACAACGCCGACAGCAGGGGGCATCACGGCAGAAGATGGAGAGTTGAGGGAGCTTTCTCAGAAGTTCTACCAGGCTGCGGTTCAGGTGTGTTCATCAAGTAACCAGATAATTCCTTAGATTTGAAGTTATTCCGCCACTGGCCTCGAACATCTGCATCACATCTGGAGCAGAGCGAGTTCTAACAGCCATGATAGCTTTGTTTACTGCAGAGCTATAGAGATGATCCAGTCTCCATGGCTCTAGTTTACTGCTGCAGGTTCTGACATCATCAAGCTCCAGAGCTTGCAATGCTGCGTTCATGTCCACCATGGAAAATCGACCGCTTCCTCTTTGTCACCATGATGCATTTAGGAACCGGTGGATTTTACAGGTCCTTTGTGGTACCTATGGAATTGGGTTGGTACCAATAAAAGCCCTGAATTTTGTACCCATCTGCATCACAATGCTAAAAGTTCTACTTCCATATCAATACCCTGGAAAATATTCAATATTCGACACGGTTTCCAATAAAAATTACAAATAATTAAATTCATATTTAAGTATAATTTAATAAACATGAAAAACTCTCATTTTTCAATCTCAGCATGGAGCGCAATGCAGATGATGGTTCAAAACCAAATATAACATTTAAAGGTCATCTGAGGTTTTATTGTTTTAATGGGAAAAATAAACCTAAATGAACCTTAGTATGCAGACAACAATTTTCTTTACTATTGATAGCGTTACAGGTAAATATTGTACTCCGAGCCATGTTTGATTATTGACAGTTTTAAAAACTAATTCAATTGATTTACAACACGTCATCTCAAGGCACTTTACAAACGGTGTTAATATCTGTTTTTACTGTTACGAGTGGATAAAAAGGCAAGGGAGGGTAAAAGCCAGTGGAGTGGGAAACCCCGGCGTAGGGAGGCGCCTTTTGAGGGATTGGAGGTTCTAATCTCCAGCAGGCATTCGCAGCTGGATCCCACAAATCAGGATCCTTGGCTCAGACCTGATGTGGAGGTTCTGGTCTCTTTATGCTGAGCTTCTCTCTGCTGCTTCTTCTGCAGCAGCTGAATACCTGCAGTGCTGCAGGATCTCATCAGCAGTCTAGATCCACTTCATAGGTTCTTGCTGTGTTACTGTGGATGAATGAGGCCCAGAGGGTCTTCCTTGATATCTACAACCTCACAAAGTTCAGGGTGGAGTTGGTTTTGGGGGGGTGAAACAAACCAACCAAATAGAAAACAGGAGCACTGAAGTAATTTATTCTTATTATACAGTAAGCTGCTGATTTCTATCCAGGTTTGGGATCGGTACCCCCCTGCTGTCACATGCAGTCCGCTTGGATGGGAATCACTCCTGGATTTCACTTCCTCAGATGCTCTTTGAACATGGACACACATATGGAAGCATGGTTGGATTTTTCGGAGAACAAATTTTTTCTCATGGAATGAATTAAACCCAGATTAAGTTGTCATATGAACACCTGCGGGGAGCAGATGTGTAGCACCTTTAAATCAAAAGGGGCGTCCTGTCCACCTCTGTTCCCTCGGCCAGTTTGACTTTCTAGTGTTGAATGTCTGGGAAAACGTGCAGATAATGTTTTTCAGCATAGAGTGAAATGTATAATTTGTCTTTTCAACTTAGTTGTGAAAGTCTGTTAGATTCTGACAACAACCAGCTCTGATGGATTTAACTAAAAAAACATTAAACCCATTCAGGAATGTACTTTTTAAAGTCCGTGAATCCAACCTGAGCAGAAGACCTGCAGGTTTTAATGCAACGGTTTCTGTTTCTAAGCTATTGGTTGGTGTTTGAACAAAGAGGCAAGTCTGCAGATCTGCTAGGAAGGAAATGTCGTCACGTTCCTGCCTAAAGGTTGGAAGTCTGTCCGAATCCATCTCTCCAATTTTCCTTTATCTTTACAGTAATTGGATTGTGTTATAAGAGTTTCCATGGCAACCTCAGAAATGAAAGAAATGTTTAAACTTTATGTTTTAAACATGAAAACTTAAATATTAACCTACTGACCACCCATCCATCTATCTATCCATCCAT